GTTCTATTATTTTTGCTTGATTGTATGAGAATGCATATTTGCGTGTTTATTTGAGTCTATATGCAATGCGGTTCTTAAATCACACTTGTCAAAGATTAAATCTCTTGTTCAATCCTTAAGACCTAATAATTCAAGAGAAAATCTTTGCCTGAAACTGTTTAAGTCCGTAGATAAGTATTTTTGGGATAATGAAATGAGTTTTTTAAGCATCATAATCAAGTTACGAAACCATTAGTCCTAACCTTTCGATCAAAGGTTATCAACGTTTAACCCTTCAAGGAAAAGCATATGAAATCAAAGAGTTGATTCTAAACGAACTTGGGGAGTTCTTTCTAATCACTAAACTCCTCATAGTCTGTAGTGAATGCGGCACCATTAAATGTGGATAAAAAAGGATAACATCTTCGGGAGATTTCAGTAAGACTTTATACCTCTTCGTGAAGTAACCCCTGAAATTTGAGTTCAGCTTAAAAGCGTTTACTTAGTCACAAAATGTATACTCACTGAGCATTGGGTGTATAAGATGAAATGGACTGCCCATCAATCTCAACTCGTAGTAACTTATCAAAATAATAGCAAATTGAGAAATTGTCTAGTCAAGTAAAGTTAAAAAAAATGTTGAAAAAATTCTGACATAGGCATCATTTGGTCTGGCTGGATCCTCTCTTTCGATTAGCTGATCCGACTCGGGCCTCCTATCCGGATCTCCCTCCTGCTCTCGTAGATCCGTTTCTCATCTTTATGGCTGACCGATTTCGTTCGGTTCCAGTCCCATTGTACATTTTACTCCAGGCGTTATTTCTTAAACCTTTAGAAACATGTACACTATCACCTCGCCGAGCAGGAGACCTAGGCTTTGATTTCCATGCTTGCAGATACTGTTGGGGAGAACTCGATTTCGCATGAAAGTGCATGAAGAAGAGATTCGTAGGTTGATCTCGCCGGGAGGCGATGGCCAATTCCTGTTGAACTGCAGCCGTTTGGCTTGAATACGACGTTCAGGTTGACGCAGTCCACTAGACATCTTCCCTCGCTACGGATGGAAACTTGCTGAGCTTTTGTCCATTATAGGATGGACAACTTCAGAGATCGAAATTATTCTTATAAAAGTATCACGTTAATATTGGGTCAAGAAGATTAGTATTAAAGCAAAACTTTTAAAAGAATCATTTTGATCTCTGAAATTGTACATCCTATGATGGGCAAAAGCTAAGCAAGTTTCCATCCGAAGCTAGGGAAGATGTCTGATGGACTGCGTTAACCTGAACGTCGTATTCAAGCCAAACGGCTGCAGTTTAACAGGAATCGGCCATCGCCTCCCGGCGAGATCAACCTACGAATCTCTTCTTCGTGCACTTTCATGCGAAGTGAAGTTTTCCTTAACAGTATCTGCAAGCATGGAAATCAGAGCCTAGGTCTCCTGCTCGGCGAGGTGATAGTGTACATGTTTCTAAAGGCTTAAGAAATAACGCCTGGAGTAAAACGTACACTGGGACAGGAAACGAACGAAATCGGTTAGCCATAAAAATGAGAAACGGATCAACGATAGCAGGAGGGAGATCCGGATAGGAGGCCCTAGTCGGATAAGCCAATCGAAAGAGAGGATCCAAAGTGATGAGGCTACACTAAACTCTTCAAAAAAGAGCACACCTTTTGACAAGTGGAATGTACCTAATTCAGAAGTTGCTATCCAGCTTGAATGCGGAAATATGTAAGGAAATAAGGGTTATGTGAAAATAAATCAAAACAACAGCATTAGTCATTCAATGTTGAAAAATTCAACTACTAGTTGTTTACACCTTAACCAAATCGGTTAAAATAACTTGGTATTATTTTTGCTTCACCTCAGAAAATATATTAATTAAAATCAGATATAAAGAGATCAAATATTTTAATATCTTTTGAAAATTGGATTTTTAACATATACGGTTAATTGAACAGATAAATGTATTATAATTTCTATAACTTTATCTATTTTTTTTTCATCTGATTTTGCATTCCATCCTATGTATGTACCAGACTAAACTTAGGTATTGAAAAAATTGAATTAGCTAATGAAATTACCCGAATATTTATGCCGTACTATGTGAATAAGCTTAACTATGCCTTATTCAAATAAACCATGTAATTTGAATTATGATATTTTAGGTATGTTTGTATATTTTATTATTGCGAAATAAATCGTGAAAGATTCTTTAGGTACTATGCTTAATAACAAATATTTACGTTAATTATTAGGCTAACATATGATATTTCAGCTTACGGGTTAACTATTATTTGTGTTCACAATGTAATATGTTTGATATAAATGGTCAATATGCACCAAATTAGAAAAATTTAAATATAAATTTTATCCAAAGAATAATAAGATTCATAATAATTATGCAAAAAATACATAAACAAAGGCATAAAATAATATATACTTAAATGAATAAAATATTATATATATGTATATATGATATAAAACGGTGCTGTCAAAGATGAGTTAATATATTAATTAAATCGAAACTACAATAAACCTAGACTTACGATAATATAATTCTTCGCTATTCACCTAAATCTAGTATAATAATTGCCATAATAATTGTAGACGATTGAGTTAAGCCAAGTAGGCATAAAATACATATACACAAATAGTGGAATAAGAGGCTGAAGAGTAGATAGATGGACCAGGGAATAAATAGGAATGATAGTGCAACCGTTTCGACAGAAAGTTGGTCAGGAGTTTGACTTCACTTGTCTCTTTGACGATTTGTTTTTGTGGTACTGAGAATGGCAAGACTGACTGACGATGCCTACTATGCTGCCGGCGAAGCGTCTGAGAATGTACCATGTCCAAGGTCCAAATCTGGGAATTATGAAAACTCCTATAGCA